GGTTCATCGCAAATGGTTGGATGGAGGAGGGAGTAGAATACAAGGCCCTGTGCTCATACCATGCTTTGAGTAGCTGTTTGGGTAGCCTTGTTACACTGTGTCCATCGTAAGATTGATAGATGTAAAGCCTGCGGAATCCGATATTAGCCGCTCTCAAGAGGAGACGGATCGGGTGTATTAAACAATACTATGCTCAAGGCCCGTCGTTTCAGTACCACTGTCACATTAACTCCGATAGAAAGCAAGTGAGTCTCTTCACGAGAGCTGCTTCATCTGCAAGGTACCTATTACTCACCCAGTATCCAAGATCTGTGAATAGAGGGAATCAGCCTAGTCAAAATACGCCCAAAATGGTTTAGTGTCCGCTTCGCAGCCTCGTGCTAGTTCCCAAACAGCCAATCAAAAGTGGATCACAGTGGAGCGATAGAGCGTATTTGTTCGTAGACTCACAGCCTCGTCCGCGAATCTGACTCGATCTCCATCGCAACCAGGGCAAGCAGTCACCAAATATCGAAGGCTCTGCCGGATTTAAGCAGCCTTTAGGTCCATTGGTTTTGGCTCAGCCGCGTCTCCGGCACTCGGAATGGAGGAACGGCCCTCGAATATATATCTCACATCTCGGTAGGTAAAACTGTTCAGATATAGACATTTCTCTCTTTCGATCTCCCAAGTTTCCCCCCGCCGTCGGAAGACGTTTCGATCTCCATTTGCTGCCCGTCGACGATTGTCTGTTCGCTAGAGAGAGTCAAACACACGGGAGAAGAAAGACCTAGTACGACAGCACCTCCTCTTTCTCGCGATTCGCGCAGCTCCGTCGCTGCTCGACATGGTCAGCCAGTTGTTTCGCGATACTCAGTTTGGCCACCTCGTCCGCATCCTGTCGCGCAACACGCTGTTCCACTACCCAGACGAGATTGATCCTTCACTATGGCAAAAGCCTGTCCTCTCGGATGTCGCAAGCCCAAGGCAAGGTCAACTAGGAGCGCCAAGAGATAGTTTTCACACACAAGGACGACTAGACAATCTCGCTGATCCTATCTCGGAGAACCTTGACAAAAGGAGGCATATTAATCAACAACACCGCTCAAACGTTGACCATGTCATTGAGGATGGCATAGACGTCTATCTGGTAGACTGGTATGGGCCGGATGACCCAGAGGTAATAGCCTGACACTTCTATCATGCCGCCGCCGCCCACCCCTTTCCTTCCCCCGGCTTCGTTTCGAGACGCAAGGAACGTTTGCTCACGTACCGAATGCACAGAATCCCCGCAATTGGCCCAGTAGCCAGAAGTTGCTGATCGGATTCCAAATCTGCCTGCTCAACTTCGCGTTTTACATGGCTAGTTCGATCTATGTTCCTGGCGAAGCGAGTATCATGCAGGAGTTTGGCGCCAGCGAGATCGTGGCGACGTTGGGCCTTTCGCTTTTCACACTGTATGGAGCTCCCCTTGAATAAACATGGCTATTAGCCCATCTGTGAACATTTTACCTGGAAGAAACGAGGTCACGTTTGCTAACTCGCCAATTCTCTTTTCTACCTCAGGGGCTACGGCTGCGGTCCGATGCTGTGGAGTCCCATGTCTGAAATGCCGACCGTCGGCAGAAACAGCATCTATTTCTGGACATTCCTTGCGTTTGTCCTGCTTCAGCTTCCGACCGGCTTCGCCGTGGACATGCCCATGTTCCTCGTCTTTCGACTGTTGACCGGCTTCTGCGGCAGTCCCGCCCTGGCGACGGGCGGCGCGACGCTCGCCGACATATACAGCCCCGCGCCGGTCGCATACGGGATCTGCATCTGGGGATCATTTGGGACCCTAGGGCCCGTCTTTGGGCCCATCCTCGGCGGATTCACGGCCGCGGCGAAGGGCTGGCGCTGGACCATCTGGGTGGTCACATGGCTTTGCGCGGGCGCGGCGGTCATGCTGTTCTTCTGCCTGCCCGAAACCAGCGCTGCGAACATCCTGTACAGAAGAGCAAAGAGGCTGAGGAAGGCCACGGGAGACGACCGTTGGAGAAGCCAGTCTGAAGTCGACGCCGCACAGCACACTATGGCAGACCATCTGACCATGCTCGGTCGGGCGTGCACCTTAACTTTCTCCGAGCCCATCGTCTTCCTGTGGGACCTGTACACGGCGCTGCTGTACGGCGTGCTCTTCGTCTGGTTCGAGTCGTTTCCCTTGGTTTTTGGCGACATGTACGGGTTCAACCTGGGCCAGCAGGGGCTCGTCTTCCTGGGGATCCTGGTTGGTGGGCTTGTCACGGTACCCTTGTTCCTGCTGTGGGTGAAATGGGGCATTATTCCTCGCTTCGCCAGCCCGACCTTCAAGCCCGAGATGGTCCTCCCGCCGACCTTTTTTGGCTCTGTCGCGCTGCCGGTCTGCCTGTTCTGGTACGGCTGGTCGGCAAGGCCGCACGTCCACTGGATGGTGCCGATCGTCGGTTCGGGATTCTTCACTGTCGGCGTCGTCACGCTGTTCAATCCAGTACTTCATTATCTCGGAATCGCGTGCCCTGCGTACGCCGCCTCCATCTTCGCTGGCAACGCGCTCTTCCGCGCCTCGTTCGGCGCTATATTCCCGCTCTTTGTAAGTTCACTCAACCACCCACCTACCATAGCACCTGTCTTCAAAGCTTCCCCTCTCCTTCTGATGAAAAGTCGTGGCTGATGACAAGGCATGTATGTATGTCAGCAAGGCGCGCCAGCTCTTCCGCACATTGGGTATCGGACCGGGCAATTCGCTGCTCGGCGGCATAGCAGTCTGCTTCATGCCCCTCCCCTACATCTTTTACAAAGTGAGTCTGAGGAGCCCTAGCCTATGCGTCCGAGCGGGGACTAGGACCAAAATCTGAACCTCCTTTCCTCGAGCCGTTCTCCATCCTGGCTAACACCTGGGGGCATCTAGTATGGTGAGAGAATCCGTCACTTGAGCAAGAATGCAAGACAAGATGTCTGATAGAGCGTTTGTCGTGCGATGGTGGGCAGTAGGAAAGCTTCATTGTCAAGCAACGTATCGGAATGGACAGAGAGATCGTGAGGAGGCGGGGATGGGATTGGAGAACAAGGAGACTGACGATGATGAAGGACGTCAGCGTTGCTCAACCAAGCTCTTGGAGAGCAGCCTGAAGGGAATGTCACGGGCGGACCCCGATCGGGGTTATATAGGGGCAGATCAGAAAGAGCATGTGTTCTACACACGCACAATCGCCATAGACACGCTTTCGCTTCCCTCGAATCATCCCTCCTTTTCCTCCTGCCTCACTGCATCAAAGAATAGGCTCTCTTCACTGAATCCCCGAATACGCATTGAGCGCCAACTGTCCCCCTAGGTGGGCATATAGCACTTTGCTTCCCTCGGGAATCTCCCCCTTTCTGACCATGTCAATCATCCCCGCGAGACTCTTACCCTCGTACACCGGATCCGTAATGAATGCTTCCGTTCTGGCCCCGAACCGTATCGCTTCGAGAGTTGCTGCATCGGCCAACCCGTAGGTTCCGGCGTGGTAACGTGTATCGAGAATGATGTCGCTCTCGCTGATGTCTGATTCCTTGAGCCCAATTTTGACAGCCGTTTGACGAGCAATGCGTAACACTTGGTCGAACGTTTCCTTTGGCTTTGCACTGGCATCGATGCCGATGACCTTTCTCTCCCTCCCATCAGATCGCGGATGGATGCGTTCTACAAGTTTGAAGCCGGCCACCATGCCTGCGAAAGTGGAGCCCGTGACGGCACAGACGATGATTGTGTCGAAGAATTGCTCGAGTTGTTGTTCTTGGGCGTGCACTTCGAAGGCCCACCGAGCGAAACCGAGACCGCCCAGAGGATGATCCGAGGCACCAGCGGGAATATACTAGCATCAGAAGCTAGGAGTCAGCGCCCGCTACTGGGAACCTAGACCAACGGAGGTGGAGGCGCTCGACTTTGAGTAGTGTTTCGAGATCGCGCTCATGTTTCGAGACCGAGCGTCGCGTCCGACATCGACTCGCAATGATCAGTAGAAATGGGTCAAACTTACATAAGGTTTCCCTCCCTGGGCAATGACTTCTTCCTCCAAATTCTTCAGCGTCTGCTTGTGTTCAATGCCAAACCCCGACGTATCAAGCCTCACATCTGCACTCATGAGTCTTGACAATTGAATATTCCCCACTTTGTCATATCCAACATCCTCGTGATCCACCCATTTTTCCTGTACGAGTTTGCACTTTAGGCCCAACTTAGAAGCAGTAGCAGCAACTTGGCGGGTATGATTCGACTGGAATCCGCCAATGGAGACTAACGTGTCGCAATCTTTTGAGAGGGCATCGGGAACCAGATATTCGAGTTTGCGGGTCTTGTTACCACCAAATGCGAGACCAGAGTTGAGATCTTCTCGCTTGGCAAAAATGGTGACTTTATCACCGAGAGCAGCAGATATGTTTGGAAGAGCATGAATAGGGGATGGGCCCAGGGTGAGAGGGTATCGTGGGATGGAGGCAAAGGGCTCGGGGAGGGAAACGTCGTCGGCCGTCGAATGAAGACTCCTGCTTGCTGCCATGTTGGGATGGATGTGTGGGTTCCCGTACTCGATGCCCTGTGCTCAAGTTACACTTACTGGTCAAGATGTTCATATCGGGGGTGTGAGAACAATTTGTAGACGGAGAAAAGCTGGGCTGAAGTTAGGTACAACCAATGACAATGACAATTTACCGTCGGAAAATGGACTTGGCAGTTAAATGCGGTTGAACACGGTTAGGAGGTGTAATCCGTCGTCTTGCCAAAGCCGGAGAACGGCTATTGAAGTCACATTCAATGCATATTCTTCGATATGGCAGCGGTGGATACTCGGGAAACTCAGAGTATGATTAGTCCAGTCTGTTGATGCTGATGATGGATTCTCCTGCGTTTCGAGCAGGTGTATCTCGCTGGAGGGACATGAATCCAAATCAATCTGCTATGTCACTGCTCAATGGATGGATCGTTGAGGTAGGGTGCCTTCAAAGTGTGTATGAGTCGAGCCTGTTTAGGGTCTGGCGAAAGTTGTCTCAATGTATTGATCTTTCTTTGGGCCCAGGACTTCATGGACGGTGGTCCAAGAGGACAGAGTCAACGGCAAACTCGGGTCAGATCGGCTCATTGTGAATGAGTAGGAACTGTTGTAAAAGTCTTCAACGCAGAGGTGACCTCCTGTGCCGTGGAGGACGAGCCTCTGATCCGACTGCGAATCTGAGTCGTTGTCGAAAGGAAGATCTATCTTGTGGAAGAGGTAGTCGATGGTCTCAGTTCCTGGCTTGGTGAACCATATGCTGATTGTGACGGCATTTTCGGTTCTTTGCAGACGCCAGATGTATTTTCTCGCAAAGGTGAAGGTGGGAACGCTCGCCAAATTGTTGCCGACGGCTTTCATCATCTCAAACTCGCCCTGCTCATGATACAAGAGTTCTGCATGGGCAATGTGAAGGTTTCCATCGGCGTCAAGAACGGGTGATGGAGCACGGGTTGTGAATGTCGCGGTGCCTGAACATCGCCCGGAAGGTGCCGAACTGTCGGCACTTTGTAACTTACGGTTGAGCAGCCAGGAGCCGGAGAGGTCTTGGAAGAGGTTTATGAGAAGGGCGGAGTGGGATGGGATGGATTGCGACATGATGGGCAGATGGTTGCCGGAGGCGTGGAGGTGAGGAATGAGTGAAGCATGAAATCTTGGGTAGCACTGTCAAGCACTTTGGCATGGCACTTCACAGTAATACGTGGTACGGAGGACGGAAAGGAGCACAAGTGCCCAGCAGTGCCCAAGCTCCGTCCTCCCGTGCTCCCCAGCCATGTCTTGGATAGTGAATAGCCAAGGTGCGGCGGCGCCCCAAAAGTGGCCAAGGCTAATCTCTAATTCTCCCAGGCGCAGCCCCGCTTAATCCCTGGGTGTGGCGTGTAGAGGGGTCCGCCCGCAAATGAACTGATCCGCCCCGGGGACAGCTGCCCACCATGCCTCGCCTACCAACTGCCTCTACGGAACCCCGATGCTCCTGCAACCCACTGGTGACCGCCAGCTGCCGGGCATGAGAGCTGCCCGCCCTTACCGGCCCCTGTCACTTTCCGCATCGCCAGCCCTTCTACCTCGTACCAACCATTCATCTTTTGCTCCTCCGCGCGAACCTGCATCATGCGTCTATCCTCAAGCTTGCCCTCCTTCCTTTTACCGGCTCGCTCGTTTGCCCTCCTGGAACCGGGGGTAGCCAGTTGAATGAACCATCCAATCCAATCGCCCACTATAATCCCAAGCATGTCTTTAAGTTCCTGTTTCCACTCTCTCACAATTCGTCTTGCTGTTCTCTGCTGTTGCCCGCCTCCGACTTAGCATCTTCACTCGTTTGAATTGCTGGTAAATGCGGCGATTCACCATGTCCGCCGTTTGCCCTCCCTAGTCTCGATCAACATCCTTTACTTCCACAGTCCGACCCACGTTCGTTCCCTTGCGAAGACCATCCATGCGATCGGGAATTGACCTCCATCAGTACCCTGTAGACTCGTCCAAAGCGCGCAGGAAACAAGCCAACCATGATCAAAATGCGCTCCTCTCTCCTCCTGAAGTCCTCCTCTCTCCTGCTAAGCCTCTTGCGACTTGCATCGGCTCAGAGCATTGTTCCGACGTCGTCCTCCGCCCAATTCCCTAGCTGCGCACTCAGTTGCACGGTCCTGCTCCAGGCGCAGACTGCTTGTGTGCCCCCGCTCGTGCCAGTCACAAATCAGATCACCTACGAAAATTGCTTCTGTCAGAGCAGCCTTCTACAGGCATTGTATAGTACTCCAGACGCCATCTGCACTGCCGAGTGCACGAGCGAGTCTGATCGAACGCTATTGCAAACATGGTTCACAAATTTTTGTCAACAGGTTGGTCGCGGTATCGATCCATTGGCGAGCACGACTTCCGTTCTCCAGCCGAGTTCTACAGCCGTGGTAACCATCACGAGCTACTCTACACCTCCAGCCGCTACAAACACAGGGACGGGCAGCGCATCCGGACCGGCTCCCCATTCGCACCAATCCTGGTAGGTCTGTTCTCTGGCTTGTTCACTGAGGTGTTGACGAAAAACGCAGGATCGATGGTCATTGGCGGTGGATCCTCATGATTGGGGTCCTTGCAGTGGGGTTCGGACTTCTCACGTGGCTAGCAATCTGGTTCAAGCGGCGACATAATAGGAAGATTGAGGAACGAAGAGCGGCCGCCTCGGGGTTCCCTACAGCTGACGAGCAGAGAGGAGGAGCTCGTTCGGCAACTCCAGATCTCTGGGGTCCGCATCAGGTGGGTCAATACTGCTGAACGTTTGGTGAAGCGTCATTCTAACCTTTGCCGAAGCACATGCATTATACGAAAGGCTGGGAATATCACAATGACCCAGCCGTTATGGGAGGCGGCGTGCTCGCGTCTTCCTCCAGCAGACGTGACAGAAAATCCAAGAGAGCCTCCTCCCAAGGGAAACACCGGGATCTTCCTGAAATGGCCGAACTCGGTGGCGGCAGACCGCCGGCTTCAAGGCAGCACTCATCATCCAAAGGCAAAGCCAGGGCGACAGATGAAATCATGCCAGTTGAGTCCGAAACAAGGCATGCGGACCGAAGCCGTAGCAGGAGCCAAAGGCGGAGAAATCTGGATAGTGACCCGGAAAGAAGCCAAGTCGACTCGGAGCACCAAAGACGACTCCGCGAGGTCAGGGGCAGTCGGCGAAAGAAGGATGCCGACCAGACATGAGGATTACGGCAAAATAAGATACGCTGCCAACGTTGACGAAGCATAAAGCGTAGATACCGCGCTGTGATGAATCCTGGCCGACGCACGTGCATTTGTCAAGCAGGGTTTTGAGGTTTGTTTGAATATTGTTCCACATGATCATTTGGATAACGGGTGATGATCGCCCTCGAGAGCGGCGGCTCTATGTGCTATATGTCCCCGGGGAAGATGACGGTTAGAGGGTATCTAATTTATGTGAGACGGCGTACTTCCTGCGGGTGACTCCCCTGAGTGACCTAGGTAATGACTGAACACGATGTTCGGCGCGCTAGGCGCGGAGTATTAAAAGGTATATGAGCCTAGAGTACCAAGTACTCGTATAGCTCCCATTCTGAGTGGATAATATTTTGCTCTACTTATGCCTCCACACATATACTCGATACGGCTAGTCCTTCCGTTTTCAATATACTTCAACTCACCAAAGCTCAACCTAATTGTTCTAGACTCATCTACCATTCTTCCTCAAATTCTCACCCCTAGATAAGCCAATGGATATGTGGTATGTGTTTTCGGTTTCCATATGCTTACCATACATCATACTTGTATTCCAGAAAACATCAGCCTCCTTGGCGCGTTTGAACTCTATCCAACTTTGGATACAGCGTCTCTTTGCATTTAGCCAGCGCCACAACCAGCTCCAGCAGTACCGGTGGATTGGCAAGTTCTTCTCGCATCCAGCTAGCGAAATTTGCAACTAGACTCGGTTTATATTTCTCGGCCTTTGACTGACACTCCTGAAGAAGCAGTGTGATCTGCGGAGAATCCTTTTCGACTAACTCTTGGCGTGATTGGCCTCAACATATCGTGATATCAGCCATCCAAGACCCCATGCCTTATTTGTCGTCCAAGGACAAAATATCATTTTCCAGTACATGATGCCTGGGTCTATCGTTTTCCGCCCCTTCTTCTGGTGCACACTATCAAGCAAGCGATGTTGTGATCAGATCCGGATCAATATCTCCAGCGCCTAAATCTTTTATCACTCTGCCTTGCTTTACGCCCTATCAGGTCCTAGGGGATGGCGTGGGTTTTGGTCTTAACCCTTGTTCTTCTGGCGCTGCCATTCAACATTGCTGCGACTCATGACGAATTGGTGGGTTATGCTTGAGTGGCCTCTCTGGAGAGCTCAGCCCGATCCTTGGAGAGTATTTGGTCGCAGAGGCACGGTGCTCTGAACACTTCCCTGCACAGTGCACTACAACAGGAAACAACATAAAACGTCAAATGCCCAGCAGAACAGCAGCCAACCCTCCGACGACAACGACGACGACAACCACGCCATCACACTCTCAGCCATCGGCATGGTTAAATGCCTGGAACATCCCAACAGCATTTTTCCACTCTCTGTTCATGCATTCACACGACTGGAGTGAGGTTTCGGCTGAGCATCACTCTCCCGATGAGAACTTTCTCTATCTACCTGGGTATGTCTATCACTCACCGCTAAACATGACCAGAGTTGCAGAATATTGCTTGCTAACGATAAGGAGCCTTGCCCGGAGACCACAAAACGCCTTCTACCACACCGCACCAACAAACATCCGCCACAGAGCCAACCACGACTTCATTGGAGCCTTTAACTGCTACAATCACTTCCACCACGAATCTTGGAAGTACTTCCACCACGAATCCTGCAACGACTCTCACTACGACCTCCTCAGGCTCTGCCAGAAGCACTCCCACGAGCTCCCCCACGATCATAATTTCCTCTCCTCTCCTTCTCCCACGACATCGACGACCACTACCACTATTACTCCTACATAGACACCAGCTCCAACAAGTGACCACACTGACTACGAAGTATACCAAGCGGACGGGTTCTGCGGCTGCACATACTGTGTGCTCTGCAGCTCCAATCCAAGCTACCCGGAGGGTACCTCGTAAGCGGGAGTCATCGCGAACCACGTCGAGTACTGTTCGGACCAGTGCGACCAGGACATTGCCTTCCTGAGCTTCGTCGACGTGCACCCTGTATAGCAAGCTTGGGGACGGCTGGTCGACAACTGGCCCGGTTCCTGCGTCGACGACCCCTCGGACATCTGTCTGGCCACAGAGCCGGTCTTCGGGCGCAGGCGGTCGAGGCGCTTCTGATCGAACGGAAAAAAACTAAAGAGTTATACCTTTTCCTTCCACTGGAACACATACGTACGTTGATTGTTTCGGGCGGCTTGGCTTGATCGGAGAAATCGAAGGGCGTTGTCATAAAGGTAAGTGTGCGTTAGATAGGCAGTGAGTCTGATGGGTTTGTTACCAACTTTTTATTTTTTTTTTTATTTTTTTTCTTATTCTTTTTTTTCGTCAGCCGCCCTTCCCACCGCAAGGGCTTAGTCTGTAACTAAAGTAAGCATGGATGTAGCTCTCTTCTACGTAGGGGGAATGCAAGTGTATTGTCGAAGCTTTCACACACGGCCTTATTCACCATAGCGGTCGTTACAACCCTGAAATTGATACTCGCTCGAATGAAACCGCTGCAATGGAAGAGTTGGATGTTTGACGAGATCCGTGCCTACTGCATGTCGATTGCGACGTACCACATATGCGCAGCGAGCATTAATGGAGCGGAGAATCGCGACCGGCCTGATCCTTAAGCCACAAGCTACAGGGGACACTGCGTGAATTCGTCGGCTAAGGTTGCTGAAGAAGTTTGAAGTCGCCACGGTGGAAGCAGAGAGGAAAAGGCACTCTACTATCAATGCAAGAAATACATAGCACTTGTACAAGTAGATAGATCATGGTGAAGGAGTGAAGTGGTCAAGCCACAGGCACTTCGTGGAATGATCGTAGCTGGCTAGCGTCTTGGCACCGGCAACTGCCTCTTTGTCCCTTCTCTTTTCTCTTTTCTCTTCTCCTTCTTTACACAGTCCATGTCCCATCATTCTACATTCTTCGCACTGACTACTCTCGGTGAGAAATGCCACAGTGCTCGGAATCGCGAGACGTCAGACCAGTTTCCAGCTCGTGCCGGAATTTCCGGAGGAATTCTTGATGCCTTATCGTGCGATGGATTGCCGACTCTGGGATCAAGTTGCCCCTCCGCAATGCAACCTAGAAGAAGCTCCAACCCGCCTGTCGGGGAAAGGATCAACATGGACACATCACAGAACCTTGTCGAGATCCTGGTCAATCCAATCGGATCGTCCCGAGAACACTGATACTCGTGGTTATAGTTCCTCTAAGCTTCTGCAAGCTCCGGGCAAGCTCGTGCAAAGTGCCGTAAAGCTTCGTTTTGCAACATGAGTGGACCTGCGTAGCCTGCCGCCGTCGGTAGCACGACATTGACCATGGCAAACTCCAACGTAACCTACTTTAAGCGCTTGATCGGATGTCGATGCTCAGCACATCTCCCAGAATATATTACAGTCTGCCTTGGTTGGGTTGCAAGAACCCAAATGAGATCCTTCAGAACCATTCTACCGGCCTTCGCGGCCAGCCTCGGCATTGTTACGGCGCAAGTAGGCCCTCTAGGCGACAATGGAAGGCCAACGACCTATACAGCCTATCATTTTGACCAGCTCATCGACCATTTTCAAAATAGCTCTCGATATGCGCCCAACACAAATGCCACTTTCAAGCAACGGTACTATTTCGACGACACCTACTACAAGCCTGGAGGCCCGGTCTTTCTATACATCAGTGGCTAGACGAGTGGGCCGTCACGCTTTTCGAATCTTCAGACTGGGATCATCCAGATCCTGATGAATGCAACCGGCGGTCTAGGTGTCATTCTCGAGAACAGATACTATGGTGAAAGCTATCCGTTTCCGAACTCTACCACCGACAATCTCCGATTCCTCACCACAGAGCAGACTATTGCTGACAATGCGTACTTTGCGCAACATGCTATCTTCCCCAACATCACAGGTGGAAATAACCTCACGGCTCCGGGTCACCCGTGGATCCTGTATGGCGGTAGCCTCGCTGGCGCACAGACAGCCTTTTCATTGGTTCAGTACGAAGGGTTGCTTTGGGGAGGCATTGCTGCTTCGGGCGTCATTCACGCCGTTCTCGGCTATCCTGAATGGTACGATCAGTTGAAACCTCTGAAGGAATGATTGATTGATTGATTGATTAGGTACGATCCGATCCAAGAGAATGGGCCCCAGGATTGTATCTCCCGGATCAACAACATCATCGACAAGATGGACTATCTGATTCAGCAGAATAATATAAAAGCTATTCAGCAATTGAAGGATATCTTCGGACTCGGATCTTTGAGTGATCTCAGGGATTTTGCAATGACCGTAAGTGAGACCTTTGATTTGGTCAAAACCTGTGTCTGAACTCTCAGATTGCCTTTCCCCTGGGTGGACCGATGAATTATCCTACCAGCACCTGGCAAGAGCTCAACTGGTATCCGGCATATGACAGTCCCGACTTCTTCTGGTTCTGCAACAACATCACCAACATGGAGGCCCCAGCAAACGTCACCGCGGTCGACATGCAGTTGGCGAATTATACTAACGGATCGGCCTGGACTGGCCTCGGAGCGTACGCGAACTACGTTAAAGAAGTGATTGTCTCGACTTGTGACAGTGCAGATTTGATTGACACGACTGAATGCTTTTCCACACAAAACGGTGAGTCCACAGACGGAATTCTGGGAAGTGTTGCATCTATTGACCATTTTGCAGCGACTTACTACGCCGACCCTACTAATTCAGGCTCTCGCTCCTATCTCTACAGTACTTGTATAGAGCAGGGTGCATACCAACTTCCACAACCGCATGGTAAACCTTCTCTCCTCTCCCGTGTCATTGGGATTGACTACACTCAGCAATGGTGCACTTGGGCATTCCCGCCAGGCCCACTCTCACCCCAAGCTGTTCCATCTCGGGATGGTCCAAACCTGACATGGTACAACAAGTACGGTGATTTTAATCTTTCGGCGCCGAGGCTAGCATTGATCGATGGTGGAAGTGATGTATGGCGAGACGTATGCTACCATGGCCGCAATGCCAGCACGCGATACGGGCCGAATCAGATGCTCATCACCGGAGGAGGCCACCACTGGGATAGCTCTGGAATCCTGAACATCAGTGCAGAGCCAGACTTCATCAAAGCGGCGCACGAGTGGGAGCTACGGCAAGTCGCGGGATGGTTGGACGAATGGGATGCTACGCACGATAGGAAGGTTAGGAAGAGGGATGAGCTGTAAAGCATACCCAGGGGAAGGGAATTTCTGGATTGGTATCTTGGATTAGAAAGATACTGCACTCTCCATACAAATTCCTACAACAATCTTGCAGCAAAATGTACAAATGGTCCGCAGTTCTGGACTAAAGTCCTTGGCGCTGGTGCGACGTTTCGGCTTCTTCAGCCTCGCCGTAAATCTCTTGTCAAAGAAGCTGAACTTTATTAGCGACACAATTCTACAAACAAGAACCCGAATCAACCCATCATGCCACGGACCCGTCCCACCAAGGCTTTTCCCAAGTGATTAGCGACGTGGGCGACCGAAGCGGCGGTGGCGGCAACAGCAGCAGCAACAAACAGCAACATCGTAGCCACCACCCCCCCGGGCTACGGCCAAACGACACAAATCGGTAATGCTTTGACAGTCAATCAGTCGTGGCTGACTAAAACCTTCCACAGGTTCTCTGCAACTCAATATTTTGCACCCTCCTGTCCAAACTGAACCGATTTGAGCGGATATCATCAGCCGACGATTTAACTCGGTTCTTTAGCCGCGAGCAATGTCTGGAGAAAGATGAGCGCAACATCCGGGACCATGGCGTATATCTCGGTACCCGGTCAGATATAGCGTCCAAGACTAGATGTCCATTTTGTAGACTGGCGAATTCCGCCATTCTAGAAAGTCCGAAGAGACTAGCATGGTCTGGCGACGAAGATATATTCGTCCTCTGGGATCCTGAACGGCAGACATTCAATTTGAGCTGCCCAAAACCAACAGACAGCAATGGCCCTCGAAGCCTTCCTATTGGAGAGCGCATTCGTCTATGTCACAGGTCACAGGCTCTTTCAAATCGCGCCGGCAGAGAGGTGGATCCTAGCGGGATACATCCAAACCTCGTCAAGCACTGGATTGAACTCTGCAATAGGGACCACCAGAATACGTGCCCTTCTTCAAATCCAAGACTAAGTGCTCTACGGTCATCGCCTGAACAGCTTCACCTGATTGACGTCCGTAACAAGTGCATAGTCCAGCGTCCGTGGAATGAGGACTATGTGGCTCTGAGCTATGTGTGGGGTAAGACGACACAGCTGAGTCTCAACCAAAGCAACTATGACTTTCTTACATCTCCATTTGCGCTCGCGAGCTATAGAAATCAGGTCTCTAAGACGATTTGGGACGCCATGCATTTTGTTGGAACTATCGGGCAGAGGTACCTGTGGGCAGATTCTCTGTGTCTTGTGCAAGATAGCCCTGAAGACTTCAGTCGCGGCATTCAACTCATGGGACTGATATATGAAGGTGCCCTACTAACTATTATTGCCGCAAACGGGTCTAGTGCAGATGCCGGTCTGCCCCGAATTCATTGGGACCCGAATAGAAACCTTTCACCTCAGCGCTCCGAGGAGATCATGCCTGGGCTACGGTTCGCTATTGTCCGTGCCGTTGATTGCTACCTCCGAGCGTCGGTTTGGGCGTCACGAGGATGGACGTCAGTATAGGCGTTGCCCTTGTTGGAACTTTCCTAATCTTGAACAGATATCAAGAGGAGATTTTTTCCCATCGTTCAATCATTTTTGTCAATGACCAGGTTTACTACCGCTGCAGACAACGTATCTGGGCCGAGGACACATGGGCTGACCTTAAGCCAACCGAGCAAGACTTGGATGAATGGAGCGTAAGCTGGGTTGCTCTCATCCAGGACGTTGCTTTTCACCAAGTCGTCCATCCTCTCGACCAGCTTTTCGACCTCATCGAAGGCTTCCAATTGCGCAGTCTCACCAGGGATAGCGACGCAATTCATGCAGTATCTGGAATCCTTCAGCCCCTGTCCAAGCGAATGAGAACACCCCTTCTGGAAGGTCTTCCAGGCTGTGCCTTCGACCTCGCTTTGCTATTCTCCCATCTTCACCCAATCGGTCAGCATAGCCCTGGCCGCCGAAGGTGCGAGTTTCCATCATGGTCGTGGGCCGGTTGGGTTGGTAATACTCATTGGAACGCTTTCCACGAGCTGTACAATTCGCATGACGTGGCAGGAATCAACGACTGGCTCGATAATCGCACCTGGATAGTCTGGTACAAGACTCAGCAAGGGCAACTTGTCAAGATCGTGCGATACGCCGAACCCGTGGCCTCGTGGGAACGAGTGACTCGAGATATCATGTACGAGAGACGATCTCCACTTCCTACTTCAGGTCGCTTTCCCAAATTGAGAACGTCGCGAACGGAGCCATCCAACCTTTTTGTCAAGAACGTGTCATACACATTGTTGGCATTCTACACCGTCTCCATAATCCTGACCACCTCGTCTTACATTCCGGGAACCTTCCTCGAGGCTCGAAATCTGCACCTTGACGCTTTATTCGACAACGAAAATGGCTTCTGCGGTTTTCTCTCGCCTGATGTTCGCCACTCGGCGATAGAGCACACGCGTGTGGAACTCATCATACTGTCGGAATGCCAGACGAGCAGCTTCCCTCCGTTGGATCGAAAGGGAATGGAGGATCGCATCCATCCAATCTGGTCCAAGCCCTACCAGGCGAGCGATTCTACGGAGTGGCAACTTTACTGGGTTTTGGCGATTGCGTGGAGCGGCGACTGCTATGAAAGAAGAGGGCTCGGCCAAATTCTCCAGAGTGCTGTGGACAAGTCGCTGAAGCCGGGCCCGCAGTGGAAAGAGATTGTCCTTGGTTAACCGTAAATCCTTCTGGATAGCTTTCAGATGCTTTTAACCTTAACAGCTCCTGCAACCATCCGAACTGGTTTCTTCAACGACGTGTGCATATCTAACTCCCCTTAAGCGGCCTCGGCGGCTAGTGAACAGACATTATTGCGAAGGTCTCCTCAACCACGACGCAGTTCTGATCAGGGATCAGAAGTATCCCTGTCTTTGCCCTGTCCTTTACCTAAGCTAGCTATATTCGGAATAGTATGTCTACGCTATTATTACCATGTGCTTCTGACCTTCAACCTCCAATCTTCCCGTGTACACACAATCAAAAGTGCGCTTTCTCGAGCAATCCTTAATTAATCATGGACACCTCACCATATACGGTGTGCCGATAGAGGATATTGTGGTGCGGATAATCAAGTGCGATGCCAGCAAGCCCCAAATGTGCGGACAATTAGGCCATAGTCCTTTTATTATTGACCAACCATGTCGCTTCCCAAGGCACACTGCACTTTCGCCATCCCCAGCATCCACGACGACCTGGAGCTCAACTGTCGAATCTACTACCCGCGACGGACGGAGAGGAACTCTAGAGTGTTCGGGCGGGGTTTCGCGATCCTCGCACACCCATATGCGCCGCTGGGTGGGTGCTACGATGATCCCGTGGTTGCGCTCGTCGGCGGCGTCCTGCTTCAGAGTGGCTATTTCTTGACCACATTCAACTTCAGGTACAAATGCCCCCCCTCTCCTGGCGCGTGTCATGTCTTGCTCTTCTCGCTGATGTGGCCCCAGAGGTGCTTCCGGCTCAGCAGGGCGGACGTCTTGGACAGGTAAACCCGAACTGGGCGACTACGTGTCGGTCTACGGGTTTCTGCTGTGTTACATCGACGCCCTCTTCCGGCTACGGCCTGGAGAGGAGGCACCCGTGGCAAGGCCCCCTATCTTGATCCTAGGAGGTTATTCGTATGGTTCAATGATCGCCTCTCATCTGCCGTCGATGGATGTCGTGGTCGACCTGTTCCACTCGCCCGCGTCCGACTCGGCGGAAAGCGAAATCAGACGCCGAGCCACGGACCTGTCACAGGATGCTCGCGCCTATCTAGAAATGCGTGCAGCTCCAGCGACGCTGACGGTACCGCGGGTGCGCGGTGCGGCGGGGGAACAGGCCAGGAAGCCAAGTCCTGGTGTTATGATGGGCGGGTACGAGTCAGACGCCGCCAGTCGCCGAGTCAGCCGGGAAAACTCGAGAAGGAGTATTGACGGGGAGAGAATCAGACGGAGCATTGACAAGATTCGTCGCAAGATTGGTTCTCAGCCCAGCAGTCCGACAAAGCCATCAACAAAAGCTCCACCAACGGAATCCACCCCGATACTGCCAGAGATCGCTTATGTCCTCATATCCCCGATCCTGTCGATGGCTGCTGGATTTACTACGATGTTCTCGAAACTCAGATTTAATCGGAAGGACCGCGAGATTACCCCTCCCCGGGGAAGAGAGTTCCACGAACTAACGGTGCATCCGTGTTGCTGTTGTTATGGGACCAGAGACAGCTTCACGTCCGCTGGCAAGCTGCAACGATGGACGCAAGAGCTACAATCGCAACCTGGATCTCGGTTTGTCACGGTCAGGGCAGACACTGGTCATTTCTGGCACGAAGCAGAAGGGATTGTTCAACTGCGGCAAGGTCTTGCCGAATTCCTGGAGATCTTGGGACCACACAATTCCGCTCCTGAACACAGCGGCGTCGCAGAGATTGTCGAAGCCGCCTCTACCAGCTTGGAAGAGCATCGGTGAGCCCCAGAAGGCGCTGCCTCCCTCGCGACAGCATGATTCCTTGGTGGTTCGTGAGAAATGCGATTTCGACGAAGACGGAACGGTGTCTCCGAGTCATCTCGAAGCTTTCATTGACCTCTTATGGACAGACGAGAGAAGTGTGCATCTCCAATCAGGAATGGCCGCTTTGAATGCGGATGCCTGGAGCTTCCTTTTCTTCCTTTGCAAGCGACAGATAAAGATGGTCCGGTTGACCAGAAAGTCCAGTGGTTGGCGAAATGCTGGCAAAGAGTTGCGAGACGCATGTGCAATCGGAGCTTAGCTGATTTCAAGATTTTTTCTTCGGTGCACATGCCCGTCTCAAATTCTTTCCAGGGCGCAGATGCGGGTCGGTTGCAGCCGATCGTGCAGCAGAAGCCAGCCTCACACTGTGCGTCCGGCTCGATGAACTTTGACAGTTAAGGGGAATACGGACATTGGACCGCTTGTTGGGCACGAAGTCTGGACGGAAAGGGATATGGTGGCGGTGAAGGCTAGAGCTAAGAACCGAGAAGGGTAGGGAGGCATGCCGCACGCCAGGTGCCAGCGCAGGCACTGCCTTTGCTCGTCAGGAACCTAGAAGCATCTAGAGACAAAAGTGGCGACAGAATTTGCATGTGAGCGATCGTGCGTCGTGGTACGTGCCGAGGGTGCCTTGACGTGCCTTGCAAATGGGTCATTGTGGCGCCGGGAAGGGGGCCTGTCGCTGGTAATGCTCCCATTCGACCAACTGGACAAGGGGCACATCACGCGCTCAAGATGACAAAAGAAACACCACACCCTCAGGCATGATAGGAACGGAATGCCAATCGCCTAGGCCATCCGCAGCTGAAGGATTGAGAGCGTGACCTGTTTTTTTGGGGGGGGGACTCCAGGTCGTTTGATCTTTCCCCAGGAAGTTGGAGTGACGAGGGCGGGAGAAGAGTAGTGAGAGGGAGGGAAAAAGTGGGAGAGGCGCGCTGAGCGAGTCATGACACGCTTTGACACGCTATGTACATCGCTCATACCTGCTCACTGGTACCTCGAACCTGTGGACCTCATAGACACTGGCTCGCTGGGTAATAGTCCCTCGTACCCAATACACATCCGCGAGTTTCCAGGCCTTTGTCCTTCCATCCCTCGACTGCAGTTGTCGATGTCATGGTTCGACCTGTTCGCCCCACCGCTTGTCTCCCTCTCTCGCTCTCTGTATCCGTTTGCTTCCCACTGTACCGTCACTTCCACTCTCCGGAGGGCGGATGGTGATGGTGGATTGCGGCCCGTCGACACTTGTACTGATACACCGGAGTCCTTTCTTGCCTTTCTTGGTCATCGTGTCATTCGCTTTCTGGCAATTTTCTTTTGTGGGTGTCTGGCTTCCGTTACCACAAACACTCGGCTACCGATATTTCGGTCTTCTGCCGGGCTTGAATTGCAATCAGCTCAATCGTCTGGCCCGTCTGACATAGATCTGTTGGCCGGTTGGTCGGTTGGTCTGTTTGTTGGCTCTCTTACTCCTTCCTCTCTTGCGACGGCCTTGATTTGGCGATCTACAACGGAACCAGGTCACACGCTTCATCCCCCCTCCAAGTGGAAGTGGCCAACACCTCCTTCCTTGATGACACAGCCCTCTGATTCAACAGGAGGAAACCGACTATTTCGCCTGCCCGTCACCACCGTCGTTTGCTGTTGTGCAGGATTTCACTCATCTAGACTACAGAGACTGGCGTTTGTGTTTCCAACCTCGACTGCTCACCGAGATACGCCGCCCTGTGGTCAAATGGCCACGACCTCACCATCGACATGGTCTTCTCCCTATCCCTCGTCCCTGCACACACTCCACCACTGTTCTGGTCATGTGTCGGCCTGTACGCGGACGCGGTCAAGCTGCTCTCTCCGAGCAGGAGGTTGCAGAAACTCGCCGAAGAGATAGCCAGGTACAGCCGAAGGCCTCCCGAGACACACGAGCAGGCCTTGCTGAGACGCATGCATCAAGCCGAAACCTTGACCGAGTATGAGAACTGCACAATCGACTTGGACAATCTGCAAGGGCACGAGGCATGGAAGAAAGAGAAGGAGTCCATTGAACCCGGCTACAATCCTGACGTGATCGAGAGCCAAGTCATCCGGTTGAAGAACGCCGTGGCCGATCAGGACCTGGATGCCATGCAGCACCTGCTTAGAACAGGGCTCAGTCGGGACCTGGGGGGCATGAACATGTTGCGACTCTACAAACATTCTTGGTTCGGCACCAAGTTTCTGATCGACGACTACATCAACACCGTCTTGGAAACCATCCAGACCTTTGCCGAAACCAGCATTCGCACCAACGTCCCCACCGCCGAGGTTCGACTCCATCAGCAATCGTTGGAAGACGCACTGAAGTTCTTTGGCCGGTCGGCACTGACTTTATCGGGCGGAGCACTTTTGGGGATGAAGCACATTGGCGTGGTCAAGACACTCTGGGAGGCAGACCTACTACCCGAGATCATTTCAGGCGCGTCAGCAGGGAGCATTGTGGCCGGCATCGTGGGAAGTAGCACCGATGAGCGCATGGCGGAAGTTCTCGACTATTTCCCCTTTTCTGACCTGGCCGTCTTTGACCCTGCAGGGACTGGCAGCGTGGGATGGCTCGTACAACGGCTTCGCAGTTTCTTGCAAACGGGGGCTTTCTTTGAAATGGACAACCTGAAGCGAGTCATGAAATCGTGGCTGGGCGACATCACCTTTCGAGAAGCACGCTACAAAACCGGTCGGGTCCTCAACATCTGCGTGTCAAGTGCCGGTAATGCCGAGCCACGGCTCCTGAACTTTGTGACGGCTCCGGATGTTTTCATCTGGTCCGCCGTCTGCGCGTCTTGTGCGGTGCCCAATGTCTTTCCACCTGCCAACATATACGAGAAGGACCCCATCACCAAGGAGGAAAAGTTGTGGATGCAAAACGCTCAGCAAACGTTTGTGGATGGGTCCCTTGACCACGACATTCCCATGAGGAAACTGTCCGAGATGTTCAACGTCAATTTCTTCATTGTCTCCCAAGTCAATCCACATGTTCGCGTGTTTTTGGACCAAGAGGAGGTTTTTCGTGGGAAGCAACCCACGGCGCCCGTCCGCGTCCGGAACCCTCTTCAAACAGCCAAGGAGTTGCTCAGGCAGGAAATCATACATCGCGCACAACAACTCTCAGATCTCGGCCTCCCTCAGGGATTGTACAGATGGGCCTCGCTCTTCAACCAACAGTACACTGGCGACATCAACGTTTTGCCCGAGATCAAGCCCAGCGAGTATCTCCACATGATGATGAATCCCACGCCGGAGTTCATGGTGAAAGCGACCGTGGCCGGAGAACGGGCGACGTGGCCCCGCATGTGTCGCATCAAGAACTGTGTTGCGATCGAGCTGGCCCTGATTCAGGCCATTCACACGCTACGGGACAGAGTGAACTTTGGCCCCGAGGCTAGGGCGGCCCGCGAGCAGAAAAGATCCAGCAGCAGGGGCCGGGCGAGCCGCGGTCGCTCAGCTCGTCCATCATTCTTGAGAAGGCGTAGCCTTAGCATCGAGTCTCCTGTGAAGGTCGACAATGCATTGACGGTGCCGCAGCCTTTGAAAGTCCGCCGCAATGTCAGCCTGGGAAATATCTCCGTGAGACCTAGTTTCTCCATCACGACGCCGCGAACGACACCCTATTTATCACCTCAGGTTGGCATCGACCAGGATCTCCTCGGCGACGCTTTGGTCATGACGCGCACCAACTCCAACTCACTTGATGGGTCGGGAATAGACGGCCATACGGTGGATGTGTCGAACATTAGTAGACGAAGGGCTCCCTTTTAGAAGCGGTATTGGGCGTGAGCATGGCTAAATGGTGGATGGTGGAAAGCGGCAATCAGCGATGCCTTTTTTTCGACAAGTATTGATACCCCTTTTTGTTGTATGCCTCGAGACCTGTAGCATTAGAGAGCACGCACAACACGGGAAATAAAACATCTGACACCCTACCTAGTAGAGATGTGTAACACTTGTGCAGGAAGACGTGATACCTAGTTGACCTAGGGAGGGAGGGTGCGGAGGTTCTATTATGTAGAAGTGGGAAGGTGGCCGGTGGCATTGGCATGGGCATGCGGTCGGCCAGCAGCCAGTCGCGCCGCAGTTGCGCAAGTCAAGAGACACCCTGACCTCCCTCTTCGTACCCGCTGGCACTGCAGTCACTGCACACATCCTGCGCCAGCGACAAACGACGAGTCCACCCATGGACAACTGATCAATTGATGGCCAAATCCACGCGCTGTTACACAGCTTCACGCCAGAAGCAATATTGGGGGCAGTCATGGACCTGAAGTCGATGCTAAACGATTCCTCGACCCAGCGACACCAACACCACCCTCAACCTCAACCGCACCCTCCGCCGCGACTTCACACACCACAATCGTCCTACGAACACACTCCGTCGTCGTACGAGTCTCATGCTCCTCTCGAGCGCCCATCGCTGCCATCCTCCTCCTCGTCATATCACCACCAGCCGCCGCCGCTGTCAAATGAATACCGCACCTCTGCCAACGGCTCCTATTTTGCGGTGCAATCACCACCACAAAATTCAGCCTCCGCCTCTGCGTCGACGCCAAGCGCAACCGGGCAGTCCTTTTACGCGCAGAGCCCGGGGCCGCATGGACAGATACACACGCCGCGTGAAGGGATTCCGCCTTCACATCTGTATCAGTCTCCCTTTGTTCCCTCGCCGTCCCCGTCGGCCCCTTACCCTCCGACCCCAGGATCCGTCCACCTCTATCAGACTGCCACGCCTTCGTCGGCGACCACATATCATCAGTCCAGCGCACACCCTTCCCTGAGCGCCCAGTCGCCCACACTTCGAGACGACTACATTTCTGCAAACGGCCTTGCGCACGCACAACAGAGACACGTGTCCCCCCAGGCTCAATTTCACCCTCCTCCCGTCACTCCTCTCGGTCCGCCCGTCACGTATCCTCGTCCGTCCCCTCACCCTCATCGCCCGACGTCCCATGGCCATGAGAGCGTGAGAAGATCGTCCGTCGGTTCGGTTGGCTCGGCGCAGAGCAGGGAATATAATCAACCGCCATACCCGCAGGCGGATCATTCTAGGAGCACGAGTGGGAGCATACAAAGAACTTATTCTGGGGACTTGCGGGAACGCGAACGGAGCATCGAGAGTGTCAGTCCCAAGACGATTCCCAAACCTCCTCCAGGTCGTCAGCAGAGCGTTGGCCGGTACCAGGAGCCCATGTCAGACCCGTATCCCATCGCTCAGCCGCCGCGGGCGTCCAATTCCAACTCCGTCCCAAACGCTCAATTTCACACCACCCCAGATCGGGTTGTCGATAATCAAAGTCATGAAACGACGCCCAAGTCTTTTTCGACGTCAAACGAGCCCAAAACCGGGGCCTCATTTCTAAATTCCCGCCCAAGTCCTGGCCCAGCGGCACCCAACCACCAGAACTTGACACCTCAGCTCACCCACTCGTCCCTACCTGCACAGCGGAGTTCTCCAATCGACACCCACCCCCAGCCTTCGTTGAAGCGAACTGCAAGTAATCTGTCTGATGCTGCAACGACGCCGTTCCCCCCCACAAAAAGACCCCGGCGAGACGAGATCCCAATATGGGCCCGGAGCGCCCGTCGCAATCTGCCTTTGAAATTCGGGGAGCCGGTTCGCTTGAGCCCATCACGGCCCAGGACACCCAGGTCCCCTAGGACTCCCGGGAACGATGTCCCGGTGAAGAAGGAATCCGTGGGTTCACAGGTCGTGAATGGCCAAGTGCAACATCACGCGGCCACACCGCCAGGCGAGCCTCGGTGGGAGCCTTCTATTACGGGTAATCCAGCATACGATGATCTCACCAGGCACGTCTGTGATTGGATCTATTTCGTTATCGGCAATGCTGAACCCCCGGCTGGCGGAGCCGTGTTTGAGGTCGAAGCCAAGGTTGGCGTCATCTTTGACGAGCAGGCGAGCAATCGGCTGAATCTACCTGTGGACACGGAGACCGTCTTCAGCCGAGAAAAATTCAGGGGGAGGACGAGTTTCAAGAGTTCCATGAATATGGTGAGGATTTTGTTCATTCGCTTGATTTCTTGGAATGTATGGCTAACGATGGATAAAGGCTCAGCACCAGGCCATGAATAAATTCCTCAACCATTTCGTCTTCGAGTCGTATCGGGTGTCGCAGGTTTCTGGAGAACCCCCCCGGGTTGATTACAAACATCCTCATGAGTACGACGAATTCTACGAGCTGACAGAAGAGGGTCGAAGAAACCTGCCGCCATCAATAATGACATGGCTCAATCCTCGACACACGCCTCGAGTGCGGAGGACGATCGACGAGAAAACGAACACCGTCAAGGCACAGATCATAAAGTCGCGGATTGCAGACCTGGAAGTCTACAACCCTCGGGCTGATTTCGACTACCGTATCTCAATCTCGATTGAGAGTCCCTGGGAGGGAGATCCACATTGGCTGACCGAGATGACCGAAGGCGGGCGCGATAGAAAGAAGGACAGGATGAGCTATAGGCACTTGGCATATCAGATTGATCTGACTCAAGTGAGTTATCCCAACACGACAGTGAAGGAACACGAGTTGGAGGTGGAAATCAGCACAGATCAAATCCGGATTGAACTGGCCAACCTGAAAGCCGGTGAATCTAACAGGTACGAAAAGCTAGTCGGAGGTTTCGTGGACAATGTCCGGATTCTGTGTCGGGAGGGGACGATTCCACGGCAGACCAAGTAAGGGTGAAGAGGAGGTCGAACCGTGTCAATCTGGGATCTATGCTCGGGGAAATCTTGGAGAGACATGAGAAATGTGTTTCACTTCTCCTTTTTGATACCCTTGTAATACTAAGTACACAAGCCTAGTTGCAATGCTGTGATGAGAGGCCAACTCTTGCCAACAGCTCTGGGACAAGGCTGCGAGGCTGCGAGGCTGTGAGGCTTGTTAGCATGATGTTGCACGTGACCCGTATGACTAAGCATGATCGCTGTGGTGCCATCATTCCAGGCTGCCGAAGGTGATGCAAACTGCGACTGTCGAGCCATCACCTGCAGACACGTCAATTGCGTCTGCGCGAATCCTTTCCTTTCCCTTTTCCTCTCCTTCAACATCCACCCATCGCCGACTGATTTCTCTTTTATCATCTGCTCCTGTACACTAGACTCTCTTCTCCCTGACCTTCTTCACTCCTTCGATTTCCGCAAACCTCTTTCCAGTGTTGCATTGCGCTCTTTCACCCCTTCCCGCTAGTAGATCAACAGTTCTGCGGACCGAACACCACATCCTCCTCCGCCCGCCCTACGCACCGACGGCCTTCAACAGCCATGGTTGGTCTGGTGTCTGCCGCCGGTCTTGTCGGCTTCTTGTCAGAACCTGATCCGGAGCTCAGAAGCTTCGCCCTCAAGCAGCTTGACAGCCAGGTTGATCTATTATGGACAGAGCTTGCCGATTCCGTGGGCCAGATGTATGTTCACAAAAAGCTTTTCTTCATCAGTCACTTGGGGAGACTAATTCGGCCCTTCTAGTGAAGCGCTTTACGAAGATGATTCCTTTCCGGAGCGCGAGCTCGCCGCCATCGTCGCATCCAAAGTGTATTATCACCTGCAAGAATATAATGAGTCCATGGCGTTTGCCCTCGGTGCCGGAAAGTATTTCAGACTGGACGACCCTGGAGAATTCGAGGACACCATAATCTCCAAATGTGTAGATACCTTCATCGCCCTATCCGCCAGTCGAGATCCGACGTTGGCCGCCGCCAACGCTGCCGCCCAGCCCCAACTTGACACGGCCTTCAGTCAAGGAGGGGATGGCGCCGCCAGCATGTCTGCCAGCCTCACATCCCCCGTCACGCCGTTCTCCCAGTCCGTCCTTCCATCAAAGTCGCTTTTATCCAGGCAGAACACGATAACCTTTGACCCCACTCAAGCCGGTGTCGAGCTCAGCGAAGTCGGCTCGCCCGAGCGTATCATTCAGGAGCGTGGTCTCCAGAAAGCTCTTACTCGTGTCATCGAGTCTCTCTTTGAGAGATGTTTCCGAGAAAAGCGTTATCGTCAGGTCGTGGGAATTGCTTTGGAGGGGCGCAACCTGGACATTCTACGTCGCGTGATCAAACGAGCGGCCGAGGACGAGCGAAAAGAGAACGGCGAAGCCACCAAGAAGGGCGAAGAGTTGATGGAATACGTGCTGGATATCTGTATGAGCGTGGTGCAAGAGCGAGGTCTGCGGAATGAGATCCTCAAGGTCATCCTGGAATTGCTCAACGACATCCCGTCGCCTGACTACTTCGCCATTGCCAAATGTGTGGTGTATCTCGACCAGCATTCTATGGCTTCCAACATCTTGAAACAGCTGATCGAAAAAGGCGATGCCCGCTCTCTAGCCGTGGCATACCAAATCTCCTTTGATCTTTACGACAACAGCACCCAAGAGTTCCTTCGAAAGGTCCGGGAAGAACTGGCCGAACTGTTACCGCAAGAAGAGCCAAAGCCCCAATCCACTCAAGATAGTGACAAGATGGAAACCGACACGCAGGCGAAGACAGAAGACCAATTACAACAAGAACTACAAAGTGCTGCCGGGGCACCGGCGCCCTCAGGAAAGCCCACCTTTTCGAAGCGCGAGCAGCAGGAAGCGGTTGAGAAGATCAGGGATATCTTGGACGGTCTCACATCCATACATCTGAACATTGAGTTCTTGCACAAATCGAACCGGGTGGATTTGTCGATCCTGAACAAGGTAAAAGATAGCTTGGAAGCCCGCTACTCGATATATCACACCGCTGTCACTCTCTGCGCCGGCTTGATGCACGCCAAAACAGCAAACGACACCTTTTTCCGCAACAATTTGGAGTGGCTGGGCAAGGCCACCAATTGGTCGAAGTTTACCGCTACGGCAGTTTTCGGTGTCATCCACCAAGGCAATATCAACCAAGCGCGTCGGCTGCTGAGTCCGTACCTGCCAAAGCCTGCTGGGGTTGCCGCCTCTCACGATTCTCCATACAGTCAAGGTGGTTCGCTGTACGCTTATGGATTGCTATGTGCCAACCATAAAGGCAAGGCTGTCAACTTCATCCGAGAGAAGTTCAAGGAAGCCACCGAAGAGGTTGTGCAACACGGTGGCGCGCTTGGCCTCGGTGTTGCAGGAATGGCTTCTGGCGATGAGTCCATTTTTGAAGATCTGAGAAACGTGCTCTGGGCCGATTCTGCCATCAATGGTGAGGCCGTTGGGTTGGCAATGGGCCTCGTCATGCTTGGCTCAGGCAATACCAAAGTCTTGTCAGATATGATCCAGCATGCCCATGACACTCAACACGAGAAGATCGTAAGAGGTCTCGCAGTCGGTATGGCTTTGATTATGTATGGTCGACAAGAAGGTGCCGATGAGCTCATTCAGGGTCTTCTCAATGACACCGATCCAACCATGAGGTACGGTGGCATCCTGACGATTGCCATGGCTTACGTCGGCACGGGCAGCAACAAGGCTGTCCGAAAGCTGCTCCATGTGGCCGTCAGTGATGTCAGTGACGATGTTCGACGAATCGCCGTCCTCAGCTTGGGGTTTATTCTATTCCGGAAGCACACCAGTGTGCCCAGAATGGTGGAGCTACTCGCCGAGTCTTACAATCCCCATGTCCGATACGGCGCTGCCATGGCTCTGGGTATCTCTTGTGCAGGCACTGGTCTTGCTGAAGCTATCGACTTACTTGAGCCCATGCTGAAGGATCCTACTGACTTTGTACGTCAAGGCGCTCTCATCGCCCTCGCCATGGTCTTGATCCAGCAGAACGACGCATTGAACCCCAAGGTTGGCAGCATCCGCAAAGCGATGCTCAAGATCATTGGCGACCGACATGAGGACGCAATGTGCAAGTTCGGTTGTGCCATCGCCATGGGCATTCTTGACGCGGGTGGGCGAAACTGCACGATCAGCTTGCAAACCCAAACTGGCAACTTGAATATGATGGGAATTGTCGGTGCTGTAGTCTTCACACAGTACTGGTACTGGTTTCCATTGACGCATTTCTTCTCACTGTCATTGACCCCTACTGCGGTCATTGGCGTGGATCAGAAATTAGAAGCCCCAGTCTTCAAATTCCACTGCAACACCAGACCCAGCCTCTTTGACTATCCTCCTGAGCAACAAACCAAAGCCGACGAAGCGCCCGAGAAAGTCAAGACGGCCGTGCTGAGTACCACCGCACAAGCGAAGAGGCGCGCGGCGAGGAAGGAGAGACAACGAAGGGATAGTATGGATGTCGACACCGTCACACCCGTGACGCCAAAGATCGAGAAAGGGGACAAGATGGATACTGATGAGGCCGTCAAAGAAGAGGCCGAAGGCAAAGAAAAGGACAAATCCAAGGAAGATGCGGAGAAAAAAGAGGCCGACACCCATGCCGAAGGGAAGAAGAAAGCGGAGAAAGAGAAAGTCGGGTACGATATCAGCAACATGTCCCGGGTGTTGCCTGCACAATTGAAATATCTGACGTTCCCGGATCAGCGGTATCAGCCTGTCAAGCGGCCTACGGGGGGTGTGATGGTTGTGCTTGACACCGAGCCGGAGAAGGAGAGAGAAATCATCCCGTTGTTGGTGAGCAAAGTTGAAACCCCGGCGCCACAGACCGGAGGTCAAACTCTAGGTGAGGCGGCACAGCTCCCTCAGACCCCAATTGGTCAGAGGACGGGACGGGAGGCAGCTGCAGGTGTGGGTGCTGGTGCGGCTGCTGCGGTAGGTGTGTTGACGGCGATCGATGAGGATGAAGAGGGCGTGGAGGATGCACCTGTGCCGAGGGAGTTTGATTATGAGACTGAGGGCGAGCAAGAAGAGGAAGAACAATAGGGAACGGGTTCGTGCTAATAAAGGGGGCGTATTGTAATTTCAACCATCCTAAAATTAGGGTACTCAGGAGGTTGGAGCTCTTTTTCACTTTTCTCCGAACTCGAAGACAAAAGGACAGAAGGGACCGAAGACCATGCCGTCTTGCGTGCTGCTACAGCGCTTGAGCGGTAGGAGCAGCCTCGAGAGCCGCGGGCTAGGCTCGCAGCATTCCCGAGAGGTATTTTGCTTTGTGGCACAGTTACAATTACTAGCACATTCAAGACTACATGATCAGACAAACGAGCACGATCCTCTGGGGGTTTGTTTCGCTTCCGTCTATGTATGTTTGTATGTATGTATGTATGTCGAGGGCTTTTTGCGGTGCGAGCACCGAGCGGCCCGCTCCGTCGTCGCCGTGGTCGTAGGCATATGGTATAACTAACCAGGCACCTAACAAGTAGTTGGACGGCGTGTGATCGAATCGTCGTTTCTCTTTTGCTTTTGGCTCGAACTTTCAACCCCCATATAATAGACACCTCCACAACTAACTGGATGGTACCTGGATCTAGCTATCTACAACGAGCTCAGGCGAGGAGGTGCATGACTTGCAATGGGGAGTCTAGATTCTTGTAGGCAATTATACATACGACCAGCCAAGGGTACCGAGGTACGTACGTACTCCAAGTCTCTCCCTCGCCCAAGAAGGATAATTGTCTGGGACAGAGGGAGTCGTTCTTTAAACATAGCCATAATGGTAATATAGATATAAATACACGAACTTGAACGGCATCGTACGTACATACACGACCATCGGTACGGCGGATCAAGATGAGAATGAGAACGGGGAATGAAGGGACAGCGTCCGCGCTGAGTGTTGGTCGACATCTTCGAATGAGCTTAGATCGAGTTGGTGTAATACGCATGTGGCTTCCCACACGGGCGCGAATGTCATCGTCGGGATTTTGGAGCACGAGTCCCTGAGAGAGCCCTCAATCTGTCTTGTTGAATCTGTCTTGTTGAATCTTTGTGTCTCGCTCGCCGGGAAGCTCAAAGAACAGACGAATCCATATCCAGTTCCTATATCTCTCGGTGCTTTTCCATTGCCGATCTGCTGGAATCGAAAGACGTCCCTTCCAGAACCATGTCCGTTGAGTATCGTCCGCTGTGCGTCCCCCGGAGGGTGTCCCTTCTCTTCAGGACCTTCGTGCCCCAACCGTGCCTCGCAATGTTGAACGTGTTCGCTGAAAGAACCAGATGGGAATGTCCCTGGTTGCATCCACGTCTGATGGGGGGGGCCCTGCTTTCCAGCTCTTGCAGCAAGAAGTCACCGGCCGGGGTGTCTGCGATGCGATCCCCCAGCAGACCATTTTACTCATCCTAAGGGCCGTCTATTTCGATCCCTCTTGTCTTCGGCTTTGGTTATCGCACCCGACAAATCAGCATTCCTCCCACTTTCCTTTCCACACACTCTCTCGCCTCCATGATTCCCACGTCCGTACTGACATACATGCACTCCCCCGGGCGCGTCATTCCCTTAACGTACCCGCTCTTCTGCCCCAAAACAAGTTTTCTTAAGCCTGCTACGTCCATCCATATCCGCCTCGTTGGTTTGGAAATGAGCTCCATCTTCTCAATCACGGGTTCGGAGTTCCAGTATTTGAGGCCAAGCCAGAGACGGCGGGAGGCAACGTTATGTCGTGTGACGGGTTCAATAGGGTGGGAAGGGTCGGACGAGGATGGATGTGATAATAGGTTGTGTGCTGGAGGCGGGGTGGGACCACCGCGCACGACGGTTGAGAGGAAGCCCGAGCTTTGCAGTGCGAGCATAAGTCTCAGATGAAACTTTGTGTCCGGGATGGAAGTTAGACCTAGTCGGGCGCGGGAGGCATTCTGGAGGTGAGAACAGGTGTTTGCGAGGTGGACAAGGGACATTTCGAGGATGCTATAGTGGTACAATGGGTGAGGGAGGATCGATAGGAAGTAGATGAGGAGCGGAGCGAGCTCTTTGATCAGCCGAGCTGCGCTTCCTTCGTGGCTAGTGGTGGTGTCGTAGTAATATAGTTGTCGTCCTCTGAAAGTTGATAAAAGGAATGTTAGATGCGTAGGGGACTTGGAAGTGATTGAGACGCATTGAACTCGTCGAAGAAAAGGTTAATGAGGTGCAGTTTGCTGCGAAAAGGTGCAGAGAGCAATACCAAACTCGATTGGGAATAGCCTTAATAGACAGCCTGCGGAATGATATACCAAGCACCTCGTAGTCAGCACCAGCAACACCAGTCAGTTCATTTCCATCTCGTTTCCCATCAAAGACTCGATGTGTTCCCCTCAAGCACTCCGTATATGAGGCAAGCGACCGCTATGCCATCTCTGCCCGGTTCTGTCATTATCACTTCTCCATTGGCAGCCAGGGAGGTGCCGATGAGCGACCAATGTGACGTTACAACCTCATCCTGCAACAGGCCGGCTCTTGGCCTAGCGGGCTTGAGCTAAGTACGTTGGAGAGACTGTGACTCAGAAAGCGAGCATCGGAACAAGAAGGAAAGGAACAGGACGTCCACCATCTCATTCTTTTGCTTCACCGTCATCTGCTGTGTCTGCAACTCTTGCAACCAAGTTCTCCTATTCTGATTTGCTCAATCTCACTCAGAAAATGCACGTCCGACCTGCCCGTGTCACAGATCTGGCGGACCTGGCTACCATCGGCAGAGACGCCATGTTCGATGATGAGTTGACCGTGTTCCTAGCTCCCTATCGTCATCAACATCCAGAATGTCTCCGCCAGGGGTTTCTTAGACGTGTCAAAAAGCGATTCTACGATGGCCATCTCGTCCTCGCTGCTGTGTCGGATGAGAATGACTTTTGGTGGGACGGCGAAGAGAAGGTGGTCGGCTACCTTTCTGCTACCTCTACTAGACAGCAAAAAGAGGAAGAGATGGAGAAGAAATCGTGGCTTCCTTTCTCTTGGAAGGGTATGTTTATGACTCTCTCCTGTCCGAAGTCCTCTTCGCTAATCACAGGTACAGCATTCGAGCTTCAACTCCTACGTCTCGAGGAACTGTTCGAATGGTATACTCACGCCGATAGATCCATCTCCAGACATGCCTGGCTACAGTTTCAAAATGGTGTCCATGACAGAGGACCCCTCTCGGACATCAAAGACTATTGGGACGTGGACCATCTATCCGTCAACCCGGCTTATCATAGAAAAGGCATCGGATCTACCATGGTCCAGTACATGCAGAACGTCGCATCGAAGGACAATTTACCCATCGTTCTTGTGGCAAGCAAGAAAGGTAGACCAATGTATAAAAGGTTAGGGTTCGTGGATTGTGGTGCTTGTAATATGGGCGGCGGTCTGGTCGCCGAGGCAATGGCATGGTACCCCTCCACTCTGGCCATCTCGCATTCGGCTGGCGAGACCGAGGACGTGCATTCTTGAGCGTGGTCTTCAGCTCTAGTGTGTTGTCATCCCGGCGTCAGACAGGAGCGCTCCGCATGCCCCGAGAAGTGGCCGTCTGTGCTCGAACCCTCGAGAATATGTATCCAACACCTTAATCGACATCACAGAATATAAATAGTACACTTGTTTGATCTTCGGCCACGAAAATTTCTGCTGATGCGGCATTGCGACCGGGCAGGCCAACATTTTGGTCTTCTTGACCTACTTGAGATTGCCCTGACAGTTTGACCCGACGATAGGACAAGACTTTTACGGAGCCGACCCACGAATGTACTCGTTTGGCTCAAAACATCCATCGCATCAAGTCTCCACGGTGGGAGAATACTCAGAGTCAAATTTACGAGCTGTCCCCATGGAAGCTACTGATGTTGAACAATGGATCTTGGCTTCATAACTTGACGAAGGTAGATTGGAAAGTGAGGCCTGGACAAGTCGAAGACAGCAGGGTTGTGCCATGCCCGTGGCGCACCAAGGCGAGGAGTGCAACTCCACCAAAAGCACATCTGGACAGATTTGATCGGAAGCGGTTCGTTTCTTCTGGGGTACACCATCTCATCCTTTGAACTATCCAAGGCGGAATCGTACGCTTTGTGGACATGGTGGGTCGGGGCCATGGCACTACCGCAAACAGCCAGCTGGTCGCCTTCAAACGGGAACAACCACCGTGGCAAAGAACTACGACATCGACAGCCGAGATGGTCATTTCATCTTTGCAGGACAGAGTTCTCAAGGCCTTGGAACTCGAGAAGACATTTTACTACATTTATCGAGCTTCAAGGCTGTCAAATCCGTCCCCGCTTGATCTTCAGAACCCTCGTTCATATATTTAATATACAACATGGCCAGCCCAACAAATGCCTGGTCATTATCCAAAAATTCGACAGCTTGTCCCATTGATAACTGTGTGGGCAATGCGGGCACTTCGATCTGTGCTACACATTTTGGAATCGAGCTTGAATCTGTTCTAGCTTTTAAAAAAGATCCGTTGGAATCTACCATATCAGAATACAATCTGGACACAAACATCATTAAAACGCCTGCAGATTACGAACATCGCTCTCTTTTGGAACTCGATGAGATCACTACAAATCCTTCCTATGACTGCCGATGGAGGAGCCCGTCATGGGCACTCCACGTACCTGAGACGGACATAGTGTGCCAATCGAAACTGCATAAGAGCTGTTCTTCTACAAGTTATATAGTGGAAAGCAATGGGTGAGACGATGGGTTGTGGAACCACTTCTCATCGCTAAAGACCGACTCGACAAACTGGGACTTGATTCTAACGTGGACAATGCCGATGCCGCAAAGGAGACTGATGGATGGACAATCATTTGTTGGAGAGGCTCTGTTGTGACAAACCACCTGATGAGAATTTGGTACTCGATTGTTTGGCAGGTAGTTTGTGAGTTGATGCCCTCGTTGATTGATCTTATGATTAGTTCTGGACGGTCTCTGGTACAAATGGACATTTGCCCGTTCCGCCACAGCCATTGATCTTACATCGGTTGTTGCAGGCAAGGCTGACACGATCCCGGAACATGTGGAAGACAGCCTTGCCAAGACCCAGTTCAGCCTCATCGGCGGCTTCCCGCCGGGTGAAGCGGCATAAAAAAAGTGGGCTCGCTCTTGCACGTAATTTGTTGCCTGTTGCCGTCATCTCTATCGTACAGATTCTTTTTCACAATTTCCCTCTTAGCTGACGTTGCACTTCAGTTGCTCGCCATATCTTGTGCTGACTATTGCTCTGCGAATTATATCTTAGCCCTTTTTGCCACGTACAAGCTCTCAGATTGGCAAGGCTGTGCTCCACATGATAACTCCCGAAGTTGACCCCAACGGATGCCCTCACCGCCGCTGAAAATCCCCGACGACCAAGCCAGGCAAGATGTAGAAGGCAGCAATACTCACTTTTCGGATGTCTCGTTGGCCCTCGATGGAGCCGCGTCAAGCACTGAATATTTGGAGAAATTCGATGGCAAGAATGACCACACGGAGAATGCTGCTGCCAGCACCTCCTCCAAACTGCCAGCCAGACCGAGCCTGACCCCCGGCATTTCCTCAAATGCTCGTCGGCCCTCATTCATCGACGAAGAGGAAGACCCGATAGCGACTACTACCACAGCAAATGGCGGGCTTGACAAGTCCCAGAAAGAAGCACCGGTGACATGGATGTCCTTGCCTAAGAAGGGACAACTGGCCGTGTTGACCTTTGCTCGACTCTCCGAGCCACTGACAGAACGGTCTCTTGCGGCATACTTGTTCTACCAGCTCCGATCCTTCGACCCAAGCCTTCCAGATAGCACGATTGCAAGTCAGGGCGGGATGCTGACTGCCTCGTTCGCTGCGGCGCAATTCGTAACAGCCGTCTGGTGGGGACGAGCGGCTGATACACCCTGGATCGGCCGCAAAAGGGTCTTGCTTGTGGGTTTATTCGGTACCTGTATCAGTTGCATTGGAGTGGGGTTTTCAAAGTCCTTCGCTCAAGCGCTGTTCTTCCGAGCGTGTGCTGGTTGTCTAAATGGAAATGTGGGTGTCATGAGAACCATGATCAGCGAAATTATCAAAGAGAAAAAGTACTGTACCCCTTTCACCCGCCCATCCATGATTATGTGATCTAACCGAGCCACGCAGATACCAATCGAGGGCATTCCTTCTTTTGCCCATGTGTTTCAATATTGGTAAGTCATGCAAACGAGATCCATGTTAACTCTTGGCTAACCACTTTCCAGGTGTGGTTATTGGCCCTATACTTGGCGGCTTCCTTGCGGATCCGATATCCTCGTTTCCCGCCGTCTTTGGGCCAGGTTCTTTCATTGGTGGCACGGATGGAGTGAGATGGATGACGGCATTCCCCTACGCTCTCCCAAACGTGGTGAGCTCCATCTTCATCCTGGCATCTGCCCTGCTTCTTGTGCTCGGTCTGGATGAAACTCATGTTGCACTGAAGGACAGACCAGATTACGGCCGAAGATTGGGCAAGTATCTGGTCCGGATTCTCTGCCGTCGGGGCAAGCAAGAATACGAATACTCTGAAATCGGCAACCAAGTCGAGTTACAGGATGTTGACGAGGACGATCATTCATCGCAAGGCAGAGATGATCCCGAGTCGTCTAGGACACCGACCGCAACGCCCATGGCTGCCAAACCCGCTTCTTGGAAACCAAATCTATCGTTCCGACAAATCTTCCCGAAGAATGTCATCCTTACTCTCCTTGCTCACCACCTTCTTGCTATGCATGTATCAGCATTCAACGCGCTAGTCTTCCTGTTCCTTCCCGCTCCCCGGTCAAACAACACTCATGCGGAATTACCGTTCCTCTTCACCGGCGGCCTCGGTCTCAGCTCCGACCGTGTCGGCCTCGCCACCGCCATCATCGGCATCATCGGCTTCCCTCTTCAAATCCTCCTCTACCCGTCCCTCAACTCGAAACTCGGCACTTTACCGAGTTACAGATGGTTCCTTCCTTTTTCGGTCCTGGCATACATCATCATGCCATATTTAGCCCTCCTTCCCAACAAAGCGTACTTGATCTGGCCCGCACTTACAGTGGTATTGGCTTTTCAAGTCATAGCTCGCACCTTCGCTCTCCCGGGCTCAACCATTCTTATCAATAATTGTACGCCACATCCGAGTGTGTTGGGCACGATCCATGGATTTGCGCAGAGTGTCTCTTCCGGGGCAAGAACCCTGGGACCCACCCTTGGAGGATGGGGATTAGGGTTGGGATTAGGAGGAAACTGTGTTGGCGCGGTTTGGTGGGTTATGGCGAGCATCGCGGTGTTGAATTGGTCGTTGCTTTGGGTTATCTCCGAGGGGGATGCGGGTGCCGCCGCGGCCGCGGCGATGGCTGGTTGAAGTGGGATTCATTTTAACCTTTTTGTCTTGATCTTTGATGTTTGACAAGAGATGGTACGCTGTACATTGTGAGTTGCGATCCGGTGAGGCTCATGGTGAGTGGGTGGGTGGGAAGAACAGGACCGCGACGTTCTGGTTGATGGCTTCAAGCCCCCGGGGCTTCCAGAAATATCTTTGACGAGTACATGACAGGCTGGGTAAGGAGATGATATGCGACAAGAGTATATCTACGCGTAGAATAACCAAGGAGCCAACGGATGAATGAATTGATATGAAATCAAAAGACGAAGAGGATCCTTCCTATGCTGTCCTACGCTCTTGCACTGTTGCTCTCAGTAGTGGTGCTAATCTTCAGCAGTTGTAATTATGTGCCTCTCTAGAAGGCCGGCGACCCGAGTCAGTCATCATCATCTATCAGAATCTACCAGGGCCTAGAGGCCCCGAGACTCGAGAGCGACACCATTATGATAAAAAAGGAAGGCGTATCATCAGAAAACAAACAAGGAAGTAGGTAATAAGGGTACTTGTGTTTCATGTCCGCGGATGGCTGCCGTGTCACCTGTGGGCGAGAGTATTCATGACCATGAGCCGTTCGCTGCGTCAGCCACGCAGCCACGCAGCCACGCATCCAGTCGCTCGCAAGCCAGGGCAAGACAAGGCCAGGCTGGAACAAAAAGCACAAGGAAGACCCAAAACAACCTTCCTTCAGTCCCAGCGCATAGTACTTCAGGAGTCAAATCTCAGATCTGCGGTCGCCACTAAAAACTTGATTCGTTTGCATATCGACGAAAAACCCCGGATGAGATTTTCGCTCCACCCACCCACTCCACTCCACAGGGTCTGAGCATGTGCAAAAAGAGGCGGGCTTTTGAATGGCCAGGGCCACCGAACAACTCAAGGAATACCTGGTGATTGCAGCAGTAAATCTTGATATGGTTGAACAGAGTCCGTTCCACAGCACCTCGCCACTCCACCGTAGCCTCGCTTCTCCTCGAGTATTTCTGTCAAAAATCGCGGACCATGATACCTCTGAGCGCCATCCCACAGTTTCAACGTCTCAACTTGGCGTTGCAGCCCTCCTTTCCGCTGCCTCCGCCCTCAAATACCTCGCGACTTCAGTGTTTGCAGGCTGATTATCAGCTGGCGCGTCCGGTGCGGCCCCGTCATGTCGTCTGAGGCGGCCGAATAAACATGACCAAAGATCTTCCTTGTCGACCATCTCCCCACCTGACTTACCCGAGGCGAGTAGCCGACTGAGGTCGGCGGCTTGTAATTCCAGAGAATTGGCGACGTCGATTGCATTTTCTTGAAGGGTGTTGTTCATATAGGGTGTGCTGCTGCCCGACTGGGAGGCCGAAGATGTGGCTGTTTTGCTCTTGCCTTTCTTCTGATCGTTGCTGCCATTGTTCTCGTTGCTTTTCATATGTGCCAGCCGCCTTGTCACACTGATATCGTAGATGGATTCCTCAACAGTGTCGGCGATGAGATACATCCACACGGTCGTCGGACGATGTTGTCCAATCCTGTGGACTCGTGCGATGGCTTGCAGCTCGATGGCTGTGTTGATCAGCGGTTCGCAGAGAAAGACGTGGCTTGCAACTACCAGATTCAAGCCCGCGGAATGCGCCTTTGCATGAAGCAGAAAACATTTAATGGCCGGATCAGATTTGAATTTCTCAGTGCCGTTCTTCACGTCAATGCGGGTCGAGGAGATTTTGTATTCCGAAAATGCTCGGGCGAGCACGTCGATAAATTCGCGATATTGTGAGAAGATAATGGATTTTGAGCCCGGGTCGTGCTCACGAAGCCAGAGAAGATGGCGGCAGAGGAAATCAATCTTGCTGCCGAAGCTAGGGCCTCGAATGTCAATGTTCTTGATCTGATTCAACATTGTCGTGCTGATATCTGAATAAATCGACTGGTCATGATGGTGATCCGAACTCAAAGACGTTGACGACGAGGCAGCGCTGGACGGAGATTCAGCTTGCACAGCTATCTCGGCCGGTTTGTACGTAATGTTGTGGAAGCTGTTTAGGAGGAGCCTGGTTTTACAGACAGGGCAATTGTGATACTGACTGACCCATTGTATCAAACAGGCTTTGCACGTCAGATGGCCACAATTGGTCATGGCGCCGTCCACAAAGCTATCGGTGCAAATAACACAGACTCTCGGGGCTGTCGATTTCGACTCTGTCTTCATGTGCATCAGATATCGAAGTTTGGCAGAAAAAGAGGCAATCTTCTTCTGCAGATTTGTTTCTTCGGTTTGAAATTCTTGATAGTCTGGTTTAAAGAGAGGCTTTCCCACATTCTCTTCCTGATACGGTGCGACGGTGTCAGAAATCTTCTGAAGCGCGCGG